CACACGTTAAGATAAACGGGACCGATATTAACTTCCTTCTTTCTTAAGTTTGAAAAAAATTTGCTGCCAGCTCAATCAATTATTTTTTGTTTTCAATGTTGTTGAACAAAGCATTCCAGGCATTTCCTTGAAGCATCATTTGATCATATCCCTGAATGTGAGGACGGGCAGACTCTTCGCCCCTTATTTGCCTTGTGCCACTTTTACGCTATCTTTCCTGTATGTATCGTTTGTCATTTCAACGGAGAAAGGGTGAGACTGAATAGGTGGTGTCGAAAATTTTGGTAGGGCAAGAAGCTATTCCTTGTAGGTTTCACAAGCTTTCACAGTAATTCTCCTTCCCAAAAACGTGCTGGATATGCACCTGAATTCAAGGTTGACAATCAAGGAATATGTGAAGAAACAGAAGATTTGGAGTATAATTTTTTTTGGTAATCGTCAAGTGACGAAAGCGATAATGATGATTCTGACGGATCTGATTGGCTACCATGATTTAGTTAAATAGATACATTGTGGTCAAGTATTAGTTAACATTAAGAATATATTGTAATCAACAGCTTTCGCTTACCCGCTATTCGTGCTATACTGTACTGTTTTGCCAAATGATGACGTCATCAATTTTTTTGCTGACATCTTCAAAACTCTGAGAACTATATACCATTCAAATCATAACATCGGGAACTATCGATTGAGACCATTTGCACTCAATTTACGTGTATTTTTGCCCCGCTTTGAGTGTTTTACTGGCAAAAAATGTCCCTCTGTGACGTCATCAAAAATTCACATATCCGGTCGAAAATTCAAAGGGCCCATCTCGGATTTGGAATCAGCATGGTCGAATTGCTATTATTGTAAAATGAAATTCAAAGTTAGGTTGAAGTTCAGATTGTTGAGGAAAATTCCCTGCCTAGTTGTAGCGTCCGTCAAGTGAGGCAGTAGCGAAACAGAGGCTCATGGAGTAAGTCTAATTTCAGCGAGTTTTCATTTGGTAACAAAGGACGCCTCTTACCTGCTATTGACCAGTTGTACTAATTTGTCAAGCTTCTCTAATTTCGAGGACCCTCAAAATTTAATAAACCAATAGCCAATGGACGGCGCGACACACTGCCTTTGAAGGGGCCTATCGAATAGACTGTACGGGAGAAGCACTGCAGAAATATTGAAACGGAAGGTACTTCTAGTAATGCATAGCAAAAGCCAAAATCACTCTATGTATGTTCAAAGGCAGAAATTCATTTTTCAGGTGGGGGTAAGGGAAGGCAAAACCCAGAAAATAAGCAAATTTGCCAAAGTAAGCATATTTCTTAACTAATTAGTTTAAAAAGCCCCCGTAGCAACAGGAAATAATATTTATTTTAATTTTATTCGGTTTTGAATCGTATTTTTTGTTAGATGAAATTTAATTTGATTGCAAGTTGTTTAAATTTGATTGCAAAAGATGCTCAAGCTTTAACAGCAAAATCTCAATGATGAAAAAGAAGCTCACAGTAAGCTGTTCATGTCACAACACAATGAATGCAAATATGACATTTTAAATTGTAAGGATTGAAATGACTTTTGAGACAATGTTGTAATGTAAACTATAAGCTAAACTGAGATGAAGTGTTGTTGATTGTCTTTTATAGTGGATGTAATGAAAACAATAGCTACTTGCAAGTTGCTTACTTGAAAGTTTAAGATTGAGGCAGGTTTTTAATTCTTATAATTCTTTTTTTCTAATTATTGGGAGTCAGTTATTGAGGCAATTTACATTTTACTTTTTATCAAATCTATTGCCAAGGGGCTGCTTTAATTTAACATTTCTTTTGTGTCAGAGAAAAGGGGTGTAACATGCCCAAATTTTCAGAGATAAGGGTGTGTTGCGATGCCGGTTATATCAGAGTTAAGGGGGTGGAAATCCATTATTGGAACTCACATGGTATCTAGATTCTTTTAGAAGTGAACCCGCCGGGGATTTAGCTTATGGAGCAGGTTGTTTTTTGGGCGAAATAGAGTCCGAAATACTGTTCTTCTAAATAAGTGTTGGTTGTTTATTGACGGCACAGTGCCCCCTATATCTAAACCAGACAAGAACTAAATAATGTTGTATAACAGACACAAGCGAGTTCGTGCCATGAAATTTCAAACTGTTGCCACACTTGATGGCACAATATTGGTATACTAAGAGTCTTATCTTCTTCCTTTGCTGCAAGAAAATTCTTTTTTGTCTGCTGAAGAAGTTATATGTTTATATGAAGCTGGTGCCTATTCTCATAGACCACAACTTCAGGCGCCATTCCAAGGGGCAAATCTAGCAGCAGAAGAACAACTCTGGAACGCCAGAATGAGTTTGTACAGGATTAACATAGAATGGCTATTCGGGGACATAATCAATTATTTTGAATTTATGGATTTTAAAAAGAACCTCAAAATTCAACTAAGTGCTGTTGGAAAACAGGATACTGTTTCTATTTTGTTGAAAAATGCTAGACACTCTTTGTATGGGAGTGCCACAACAGAATATTTTGAAATAGAACTGTTTCAGATACAGCACTATTTCACCAATGTTTAAAAAAATAAATGAAAATAGTTGTAATGTTTGATGGAATGTAATTAAGAAGGGAAAACAGCATAAAACTGCAATGTAATTTTCTAATTTTGTTTTATATTTGCAAGTGATTTTAACCATTTATTCTAAACTCTTTTGATTTGACAAAAAGATATTGAGCATTTCCTCCTGTTTATTTAAGTGATTATAAATACCATTCATTTTTTATTCAACTCACCCAACTTGTTTGTTTGCCCCTGCTTCTCGCTGATGAACAAATTTCATTTCCTTGCCTTTTCTTCTACTTCCTTCTTTCTTAGCCCTAATTCCTTCTCTTTCATTTGTTGATCAACTTTTTCTTTATTGTCAATCATTTCGTGGGTCCTTCTTTCATGAATTCTTTTTTTAACTCCTTCCCCTGCTCTTTTTACGCCCTGCTTTCTCTTCCTGCTTTCCTCGAATGTTTCCATTCACTGCCTTCTTATTTCTTCTGCTTTTGTCAACTCTGCCTTCTGGGTGGCCCCCAGTGGGCTCACTGCTATGAAACTCTATATACCATGTGAGTTCCAAAAATGGATTTCTACCCCCTTATCTCTGACATAACTGGTACCGCAATACACCCTCATCTCTGAAAATTTGGGTATGTAACACCCCTTTTCTCTGACTCCAAAAAATGTTATATTAAATCAACCCCAACAAAATTGACCATAGATTGACAAAAAATGAAATGTAGATTGCCTCAAAAACTGGCTCTAATAATTATAAGAATGAAATATTTTTTGTCTTGGTGCTGAAAGAACTTGTTATCAGTTTTGAGGCTAATGTTCACCCAGTTTGAAACTCATGCTAAAGACATGTCAAGGTCAAGTCGGAACGGTGATTTGGCCAATCGTCAATAAGAATTTTCTACATTAGCCAATCAGACGTTGGATTGAATTGGATGTCACCTTAATAGCGGAAAATTACCTGTCCTCATATAATAGTTCATTTTAAATCACACGTAGCCCAAAGTAATATGACTTGTTCATGATAGGAATCCCTGAAAACAAAGCTTCAACTTTATCTATGATTTGCCTATGTTTTGAGTCCAGAGCTGGGGTAAAAAGGGTTACGGAAATAGCATTAAAGTTGACAATATTATGGGGAGAAAAATATCAGCTTATTTGAAGTCGCTTGTAGTGTCTTGAAAATCCATAAAAAACAAATATTTTCACATATTACTCTTTAGATACTAATATATAATAGTAATATATACTATTAGATATTAATAGTCTAACAATCTTTTAACGACAAAACAAACATTTGTGAAAAATTAAAAAAAATTAAGTTTTTGGACCAGTAGAATGCCTTAAGTCGTTTTTGGAAAATTTCATGACCCCAGACCTGCAAAAAAGTTCGAGAAAGTTGAAATTTTTGAAAAACTTCTTTTTTACTCGAAACTATCAATAAAATCTTAATTGACGCTCCGAAAAACGTTACGAGTAGTTTTTGTTGAATTTTAGGGTCTTCTTTTGAAAAAAAGGACTAAGCAATTTTAGAAAAATTTCCTTACCCCTGACCTGCAAAAGAGTTCAAAAAATTAGAAATTTTTCATAAAAATTTTTTACTGGAAACAACAAATAAAGTCTTAATATATGTTGCGAACAATATTTCGAGTAGTTCCGCTGAAATTTAGGCTCTTATTTAAAAAAAAGAAAATAGCCATTTTTGAACAATTCCATGACCCCGGACCAGCAAAAAAGTTAAAAAAATTATAAATTTTTAAACTTTTTTTTACTCGAAACAACCAATAAAGTCTTGATACATGATCCCAACAACATCTTTGGTAGTTTCGGTGACTTTTAGGCTCCTATTTTGAAGATTATGACATATTAATTTTTGAAACATTTCATGCCCCTGGACCTGCAAAAATGTTCAAAAAACTTAAAATTTTTCTAACATTTTTTCTTCACTTGAAACAACCAAGAAAGTCTTAATACACGTTCCGAACAACATTCCGGGTAGTTTCTGTGAATTTTAGGCTTATATTTTGAAAATAAGGACTTAGTCAGTTTTATAAAATTTTCATGACCCCAGGCCTGCAAAAAGTTCAAAAAAGCTAAATTTTTTTTTAGTCGAAACAACTTAAAAGTCTTAATACAGGTTCCGAACAATATTTCTAGCAGTTTTGTTGAATTTTAGGGTCCTACTTTGAAAATAAGAAAATAGCCATTTTTGAACAATTTCACGACCTTGGACCAGCAAAAAAGTTCAAAAAATTAGATGTTTTTTAAAAAAATTTTTTTACTCGAAACGACCAAGAAGGTATTATTACACGTTCTGAACAATATTTCGGGTAGTTTCGTTGAATTTTAGGCTCTTATTTTGAAAATAAGGACTTGGTCATTTTTGTAAAATTTTTATAACCCCGAACCATCAAAAATTTTCAAAAAAGCTAAAAATTTTGAATTGTTTCGAAACAACCTAAAAACAGCGCTGTAGAGAAGGGGGGCGATGGGGGGCACAGCCCCTATAGATTTTTAGGAAGATTTTTGGGGGCTATACCCCCCCTAATTGTTCAAACTGTCTTAAAATTTTTTTTTATCTTGTCGAGTCTTACTGTTATATTGTATTATTCCCTGCTAAATAAACACACATTGGGGTGATAATTCCGTTATTAAGTCTTCTTTGGAAATTCTGCCCATTGGGGCCATATGAACAAACACACAAGAAGGAAAGAAATTCCTGAAAGAAATCTAACCTCGTAATCACGCCCAAAGCAAAAAGGCCTAAGCAAAACAATGTGAATTTCTTTGGAGACTCAATGAACAGCAGGTAAACAAATCGTATAAAAACATGAATAAACGCTCTTATAATACTGAAAGAGTTTTGAATTACTTCACTGTAATAAAAAAGCCAAAAGTTTCAAACTCTACGGATGTTCAAGAAAAGTCATCTGAGCTCGAAAACCATGATGAAGAACAAGGGCGAAATGACATTAATTTCTAGGATGACTAATGAGCAGACAATAACAGAGAAATGCATAAGAACTACATACTACATTGGAAAAGAGAAAAGGCCTTACTCCGATTATGAGCAACTGATTGGTCCTCAGATTCAAAATGGGTTAGATATGAGAAGAACGTTGCATTCCAGATGGTCATGCACTGAAATGATTGATGTTGCTTCAACGACAATGAGGGAATCATTAGCTAAAGAAATTGTGGATAACGAAAGAAAAATGTCCTTGATAGTAGGTGAGTCAACATCTGCAGCAAAGGACTCGTGTTTGATCATTTATCTTCGTGCATTGTTAAATGGATCACCAGAAAATATTCTTTTGAGTATGATTGAGTTCCAGGGACAAGATGCAGACAGTGTAACTTGTGCTATAGTAAAAGTCCTTAACGAAAACAAGATCACAGATGAGTATCGCACAAATAATCTCGTGGCATTTACCAGTGATGGTGCATCTGTAATGACAGGGGTAAACAGGAGAGTCGCAACCAAATTGAAAGAGAAATATTCACAGATAATTACATGGCATTGCTTGAATCACAGGTTAGAGTTGGCGGTTGGAGATGCAATAAAGTCAGTTAAAGGTGTTAATCAAGTGGAAGCTTTCGTTTCAAAGATTTACTGCGTATATTCACAATCACCAAAAATGCAGAGGGAATTAAGCAACATTGCTAGTGGTATCGATACCGAGCTTCGAAAGGTTGGCAGATTATTGACAACAAGATGGGTGGCATCTTCATACAGAGCTGTTGCATCTTTGGGGCAAAATTATTCTGCATTATTGAAGCATTTTGAAAAAGTGGCAAATGCATCAGAAAATTCAGAAAATGCTATGTATAAAGGCCTATTGTGCACAATGCAAACAAAACAGTTTGCTGAAGATATTGGTTTGTTAAAAGATTGTTTAGGTCAATTAGCTATACTTTGAGAGTCCTTGCAAAACAGAGACACAACAATAATTTAAGCATCTTATTATTTGAAGTGGACATTGAATGCTCTAATAAAGATTAAAGATTCCTTGACAGAAAAGTATTCTTTTGAGTTCCTTACCAGTCCAAAAATGTTTTAAGGTATTGTGCTCAAGACAGCACATTCAAGCAGACGTGAAAATGCATCATTTGACCATGAGCAATTTGTACAAGCTCTTGTTGACAACGTCAAAGCAAGAATGATAAATGAAAGAGAGTCTGAATGATGCTCAGGCCCTTGTTCCAGAGAGGTGGCCACACGATGAAGAAACCCCTTGGGTTGCAGGAGAAGACATGATTTTGAGAATATATAGGAGGTTCAATATTAAAACAAATAATATTGTAACTTCCTACAGAGAATTCTTCAGTGATCCTCGAACCACCAATCTCCTAATTCAAGAAAAGTTGGTAAAAGGCCTGCTTGAAATCATCCCCATCAGTAGTGCAGAGGCAGAACAAGGATTCTCACAGCTAAATTTAACATCCACCAAACTTCGATCATCTTTGTCTGTTTCCCACTTGTCCTCACTGATGTTCATCAGCATCAATGGTCTACTTGTCGAGCTGTGGCACTCAAAAAAGTCAACATCGAAAGGGCTTCAGAAGCATAAGAGTTCTCGCGATAGCCGTACAAGGAAATGCAAACGCGCAACTTTTGATGAGTTGAACAATGTGGAACGATTTTTCTGTTGACTTTGTGGACACTATTAAAAGTAACTCTATTAGATCGTTGTTTTTGAAACCCAGTTTTTATTATGTTGATTTTGCATTTGTATCTACTTCAGGACAAGAGACATTGTCATGATTTTGGCACGCTGCTAGCGCCTCGTGAGGACAAATAGAGCCCCCTGGTTGTTATTCTAGCTCTACACCACTGCCTAAAAAGTCTTAATAAACGTTCCGAACAATATTTCGGGTAGTTTCGTTGAATTTTAGGGTCTTATTTGAAAAAAAGAAAATAGCATTTTTTTTTAACAATTTTCATGACCCTGGACCAGCAAAAAAGTTCAAAAAATTAGATATTTTTCAAAATTTTTTTTACTCGAAACGACCAAGAAAGTCTTAATAGACGTTCCAAACATTATTGCGGGTAGATTCGTTTAGTTTTATGCTCTTATTTTGAAAAAAAGGACTTAGACACTTTTGAAAAGTTTCATAGCCTCGGACCTGAAATTATGTTCAAAATACTAAAAATTTCTCAAAATTTTTTTCTTCACTCGAAACAACCAACAAAGTCTTAATACACATTCCGAACAATATTTCGTGTACTGTAGTTTCGTTGAATTTTACGCCGTTATTTTGAAAAAAAGGACTTAGCAATTTTTGAAAAATTTCATGACCCAGGACCCGCAAAAAAGTTAAAAAAATTGAAAATTTTTCAAAAATTTTCTTTTACTCGAAACAACCAGTGAAGTCTTAATACATGTCCCCAACAACATTTTTAGCAGTTTCAGTGAATTTAAGGCTCCTATTTTGAAGATAACGACATATTAATTTTTGAAACTTTTCATGCCCCTGGACCTGCAAAAATGTTCAAAAAACTTAAAATTTTTCAAACATTTTTTCTTCACTTGAAACAACCTAGAAAGTCTTAATACACGTTCCGAACAATATTTCGGGTAGTTTCGTTGAAGTTTCGGCTTTTCTTTTGAAAATAAGGACTGAGTCATTTTGAACATTTTCATGAACCCGGACCTGCAAAAAAGTTCAAGAAAGTTTAAATTTTTCGAAATTTTTTTCTTTACTCGAAACAACCAAAAAAGTATTAATACACGTTCCGAACAAGATATCGGCTAGTGTCGTTGAATTTTAAGCTCTTATTTTGAAAAAAGAAAATAGCCATTTTTGAACAATTTCATGACCTCGGACCTGCAGAAAAGTTCAAAAAATTCGAAATTTTTAAAAAATTTTTTTTTGGCAAAACAACCTAGAAAGTCTTATTACACGTTCTGAATATCATTTCGGGTAGTTTTGTTGAATTTTAGGGTCTTATTTTGAAAATAATGACATAGCAATATTTGAAAAAATTTCATGACTGCGGACCTACAAAATGTTCAAAAAACTTACAATTTTTCAAACATTTTTTCGTCACTCGAAACCACCAAGAAAGTCTTAATACACATTCCAAACATTATTTCGGGTAGTTTTGTTTAATTTTAAGCTGTTATTTTGAAAAGGAGGACTGAGTCTTTTTTGAAAAATTTCATGACAACAGACTTACAAAAAAGATCAAGAAAGTTGAAATTTTTGAAAAACTTTTTTTTAGTCGAAAAAACCTAGAATGTCTTATTACACGTTCTAAACAACATTTTGTGTAGTTTTGTTGAATTTGAAGCTTTTAATTTGAAAAAAAGATTTAGCCATTTTTGAACAAATTCATAACCATGGACCTGCAAAAATGTCCAAAAAATTTGAAAATTTTTCAAAACATTTTTTTTCCTCGAAACAACCAAGAAAGTCTTAAAAGACGTTCCGAACAAAAATTCGGGTAGTTTCGTTGAATTTTACGGTCTTATTTTGCAAATAAGGAATCAGCCATTTTTGAGCAATTTCATGATCCCGGTCGTGCAAAACAGTTCAAAAAATTATAAATTTTCAAAAAAAATTTTTTATTCAAAAGAACCAATAAAGTCTTATTACATGTTCCCAAAAATATTTTGGGTAGTTCCGTTGAATTTTAGGCTCTTATTTTGAAAATAAGGAAATAGCCATTTCTGAAGAACTTCATGACCCCGGACCAGCAAAAGATTAAAAAAAAATTAGAAATTTAACAAAATTTTTGTTTACTAGAAACAACCAATTACGTCTTAATACATGTTCCCAACAACATTCTGGGTAATTTCAGTGAATTTTAGACTCCTATTTTGAAGATAATGTCCTTATTTTCAAAATAAGACCTTATAATTCAACGAAACTACCCGAATTGTTATTTGGAACGTCTTTTAAGACTTTCTTGGTTGTTTCGAGGAAAAAAATGTTTTGAATTATTTCAAATTTTTTGAACTTTTTTCCACGAGCGGGATCATGAAATTGCTCAAAAATGGCTATAAATGGCCAGAAATAATAGTTTTTGAAAAATTTCATGCCCTGGGACCTGCAAAAAAGTTAAAAAAACTTACAATTTTTCAAACATTTTTTCTCCACTCGAAACATTAACACCCACAAAGTATTAATAAACGTTCCGAACAACATTCCGGGTAGTTCAGGTAAATTTTAGGCTTATATTTTGAAAATAAGGACTTAGTCATTTATGTAAATTTTTTATGACCCCGGACCTTCAAAAATGTTCAAAAAGTTGAAATTTTCGAAAATTCTTTTTCTAGTCATAAACAACTTAAAAAGTCTTTATAGAGGTTCCAAAAAACATTTTGTGTAGTTTTGTTGAGTTCCAAGCTTTTATTTTGAAAAATAGGATTTAGCCATTTTTGAACAATATCATAACCACGGACTTGCAAAAAGGTCCAAAAATTTGAAATTTTTAAAAAAAATTGTTTCCTTGAAACAGCCAAGAAAGTGTTAAAAGAAGTTCCAAACAACAATTCGGGTAGTTTCGTTGAAATTTAGGGTTTTATTTTGAAAATAAGGATTCAGCCATTTTTCAGCAATTTCATGATCCCGGACGTGCAAAAAAGTTCAAAAAATTTGAAATTTTTCAAAACTTTTTTTTTACTACAATCAATCAAGAAAGTCTTGATAGACGTTTCGAACAACAGTTTGGTTAGTTTCGTTGAATTTTAGTCTCCTACTTTGAAAATTAGGAATTAGCGATTTTTGAAAAATTTCATGACCCCAGACCTGCAAAGAATTCAAGAAAATTGAAATTTTTCAAAAAATTTTTCTTACCCGAAACAACCAATAAAAGTATGTTCCCAAGTAATAATGTATGTTCCCAACAAGATTTTTGGTAGTTTCGGTTAATTTTAGCCTCCTATTTTGAAAACAAGGATTAGCCATTTTTGAAGAATTTGATGAACACGGACCAGCAAAAAAGTTCGAAAAATTAGAAATTTTTCAAAAATTTTTTTTACTCTTAATAACCAAGAAAGTTTTCATACACGTTCCGAACAACATTGCCGGTATTTTCGTAAAATTTTAGGCTTCTATTTTGAAAAAAGGACTTAGCCATTTTTGAATAATTTTATGACCTTGAACCTGCAAAAAAGTTCCAAATAGCTAAAATCTTTTAAAAAATCTTTTTAAGTCGAAACAACCTGAAAAATCTTATTAAACGTTCCGAACAACATTCCTGGTAGTTTCGTTTAATTTAAAGCTCTTTTCTGAACAGAGGGATTTAGGCAAAAATTTAGCAAAAAAATTCGGATTTGTCGGGCATTTTTCTCCATTTTATATTTTTTTTCAGAACTTTAGAGATTTTTTGGAATTTTTTTCTAATCTTCTTTTTTCGGTATTTTTTCATTATTTTTCGGAAATTGGAGGGATTTTTGATATTTCTCAATTATTTTCTGGATTTTTAGAGATTTTTCAGGGGTTTTTTGAGATTTATTTTGGATTTATCGGGACTTTTCCCAATTTTTCCGATTTTTTCGGTATTTTTTGGGATATTTTTTAAATTATTCCGATTTTTGGGACTTTTTACGATTTTTTCAGATATTTAAAAAAATTTTGGGACTTTTCATTTCTTTCAAGATTTGTTAAAACTGTAAAAATTTTTAATATGTTTACCATTTGTTCCAATTTTTCTGGATTTTTACCAAATTTTTTCAATTTTTCGAGGATTTTACGAGGATTTTGATATTTTTCAAGATTATTCTTGATTTTAAAGGATTTTGAGGAACTTTTGATATTTTTCAAAAGTCTCCTGGATTTTGAGGGAGTTTTTGGATTCTTACCAATTCTTTCCGAATTTTCCGATTTTTCAGATTTTTTTTGGATTTTTCTAAATTTTCGAGATTTTTTGGGATTTTTGGAATTTTTCCCGATTTTATCCAATTCTTCGAGATTTTTAGTTGTTTTTGATAATTTTCAAGATTTTTTTTGGTTTTCTTAAAATTTTTTCCGATTTTTCGGGATTTTTTGGCATTTTTTCCGATTTATTGGGATTTTGAGGAATGTTTGCAATTTTTCAGTATTTTTAGGGATGTTTTCAGATCTCTTCCGATTTTTCGGGGTTCGTTCAAATTTTTTTCCGATTTTTCGAGATTTTTAGGAATTTTTGATATTTTTCAAGATTTTTTTGGATTTTGATGGATTTTTCGGGTTTTTTTCAAAATTTTTCATATTTTTTGGAATTTGCGTGGTTTTTTAATATTTTTGAAAATTTTTGGGATCAATACGAATTTTTTCCGATTTTTCCGATTTTTTAGGGTTTTAGGGATTTTTTAATTTTTTCAAGATTTTTCTGGATTTCAAAAGACGTTTATTGATTTTTTCTGCTTTTTCGGATTGTTTTGCATTTTTTCGGAATTTTTCCGATATTTCGGAGTTTTCTCCAATTTTTTCTGATTTTTTGGGATTTTGAGAGATTTTTTTAATTCTTCCTGATTTTTTCGGATATTTTCCGACTTTTGGGATTTCTTCCTGATTTTTTCAAAGTTTTGATGAATTTTGAGAGTTTTTCAATTTTTTTTTAAGATTTTACAGCATTTTTAATGATTTTTTGGGATTCTTTCCGATTTTTTGCCGATTTCTCAAAAATTTTCAGGATTATGAAAGATTTTTGATATTTCTCCGAATTTTTCCAATTTTTTTGGGATTTCCTGCATTTTTCCAATTTTTCGGGATATTTAAGGGTTTTTTGTCAGATTTTTTCCAATTTTTCGAATTTTTAAGGGATTTTTGATAGATTTGGATAGATTTTTCAGGATTATTGGAGACTTTTTGGGATTTTTTCAAATTTAGTAGGATTTTGAAGAATTTTTTTCAATTAACAGTATTTTTAAAGTTTCAGTATAATTATAAGGATTTTTTCGATTTTTCCGTTTTTCCGGAATATTGAGGGACTTTTGATATTCTTTAAGATCTTTCTATATTTTAAAAGACATTTCGTGATTTTTTTTCAATTTTTTTTTCAATTTTTTGGGATTTTTCGGAATTTGAAAGATTTTCCTGAATTTTGTGAGATTATTCCGGATTTTTACGCATGTTTTGCGATTTTTCCAAATTTTACCATTTTTTCGAGATTTTTTTCAATTTTAAATCATCATAAAAATTCTATTTTCCTTCATTTTAGTTCATATATATGTTCTTTTTTATTTTAATTCATCATATATATTTTTATTCTTGTTCTTCATATATATTCTAAATTACATCATTTTAGTTCATTATATATATTATTTTTTTTGTTCCATTATATATATGTTTTTTTTCATATTCTATTTTATTTCAGCTTTATTCATTATATATAATCTATTTTATTTCATTTTAATTTATTATATATATACTATTTATTTCATTTAAATCCTTGCTATTATATTTTTTTTTCATTAAAGTTCACTATATATATTCTATAGTGTTTCATTTCAATTCAATATATATTTTTTTTACTTCATTTTAATTCATCATCTATATTCTATTTTATTTCATTTTAATTAGGATAATGGCAAGGGTTAGGGTAAGGATTAGAGTTAGTGTTAGGGTTGGTGTTACGGTTAGGGTTTGGGTAAGGGTAGAGGTTAGCGATAGAGTTAGGGTTAGGGTTAGGGTTTCGGTTTGGGCTGGGGCTAGGGTTAGAGATAGTGTTAGGGTTGTTTATTTAGGTTAAGGTTGGAGTTAGGGTTAGGGTTAAGTTTAGGGTTAAGGTTGGGGTTAGGGTTTGGGTTAGGTTTAGAGTTGGGATTAGGGTAAGGGCTAGGGTTAGGGTTAGGTTTAGGGTTAGGGTTAGGGTTAGGGTTGGGGTTAAGGTTAAGGTTAGGGTTAGGTTTGGGATTAGGGTATGGGTTAAGGTTATGGTCAGGGTGAGAGCTAGAGTTAGGGCTAGGGTTAGGGTTAGGTTTAGGATAAGGGTTAAGGTTAGGGTTAGGGTTAGTGTGAGGTTCAAGGTTAGGGTTTAAAAACAACATCAGAAATTGAAGGGTTTTCTTTGAACGGTTGAGATTTTACAAAAAACCGTAAAACTAAGGAACTAGAAAAATCAAGAATATCAATTGGAATGTCAACCATACCAGAAAAACAAGTTTTTGGGATATTTAAAAGCACTTTTGAGTTCGTTAGAGCTGCTGGAAATTTCAACTTACAAAGCTTTAAGGAAAATTATTAAGTTGCAAAATTCAAATTAACATTACAAATGTGAATAAAACATGAACCAAGAATTTTTTTCACACTTGCCGACTAGATTTGAACTTGCCATACCCTAAAGAATAAACTGTCAAATTTTCGTTTTAGCATCTTGCATTGTTTTAAAGAGAGTTGCATTCATACAAAGATAAATCAGGATTTTTGGTTTTAATTACAAAATCAGAAAGCGAGGGGTTAGGGTTAGGGTTATGGTTAGGTTTACGGTTAGGGTTAGGGTTAGGGTTAGGGTTTTTATTAGGGTTAGGGTTAGGGTTAGGGTTAGGGTAAGGGTAAGGGTAAGGGTAAGGGTTATGGTTATGGTTATGGTTATGGTTAGGTTAGTTTAAGGGTCAGGGTCAGGGCTAGGGTTAGGGTTAGGGTTAGGGTTAGAGTTATGGTTAGGGTTGGGGTTAGGGTTAGGGTTAAGGTTAGGGTTAAGGTTAGGGTTAGGGTTAGGGCTTTGATTAGGGTTAAGGTTAGGGTTAGGGTTAGGGTTGAGGTAAGGGACGTTTAAGGGTGTTCTTGACTCTGGTACCTTTGAGTCTTGAAATAAGACCACTTGCTACCAATTTTATGCAATAAATCTAAAATTATTCGCTGTACTTTCAAGAATAATCTGTCAAATTTTCGTTTCAGTATCTTGCACAGTTTCAGAGAAAATTGCATTCATACAAAGCTAAATCAAGATTTTTTGTTTCATATACAAAAACAGAAATCTAAGGGTTTACTTTGTACAATTGAGATTTTACAAAAAACTATGAAACTAAGGAACTAGAAAAAGTCAAAATCATCAATAAGAAGGTCAACAACACCAGAAAAATAAGTTTTTTGGACATTTAAAAACACTTTTCAGTTCTCTAATGCTGCTCAAAGTTTGAAATTACAAAGTTTTTGAGGGAATTTTTTATCCTGCAAATTGAAAAACTAACATTTTAATTGTGAATAAAACATTAACCAAATATTTTGTTGACAATTGCTGACCATATTTGAACTCGCCGTACCTTCAAGAATAATCTGTTAAATTTTCACTTCAGTATCTTGCACAGTTTCAGAGAAAATTGCATTCATACAAAGCTAATACAAGATTTTTTGTTTCATATACAAAATCAGAAATCTCAGGCTTTACTTTGTACGGTTGAAATTTTACAAAAAAATTTGAAACTAAGGAACTAAAAAAAGTCAAAATTATCAATTAGAAAGTCAACCACACCAGAAAAACAAGTCTTTGGGACATTTAAAAACACTTTTGCGTTCTCTAATGCCGCTGAAATTTTGAAATTACAAAGTTTTTAAGAAAATTTTTTAACCTGAAATTGAAAACTAACATTTAAATTGTGAATAAAACATGAAGCAATTACTTTGTTGACAATTGCTGACCATATTTGAACTCGCCGTACCTTCAAGAAAAATCTGTTAAATTTTCGTTTCAGTATCTTGCACAGTTTCAGAGAAAAATGCATTCATACAAATATAAATCAAGATTTTTTGTTTCATATACAAAATCAGAAATCTCAGGCTTTACTTTGTACGGTTGAAATTTTACAAAAAAATTTGAAACTAAGGAACTAAAAAAAGTCAAAATTATCAATTAAAAAGTCAGCCACACTAGAAAAACAAGTTTTTGGGACATTTAAAAACACTTTTGCGTTCTCTAATGCCGCTGAAAGTTTGAAATTACAAAGTTTTTAAGGAAATTTTTGAGGCTGCAAATTGAAAACTAACATTTTAATCGTGAATAAAACATGAACCAAATATTTTATTGACAATTGCTGACCATATTTGAACTCGCCGTACCTTCAAGAATAATCTGTAGAATTTTCGTTTCAGTATCTTGCATAGTTTTATAGAAAAATGCATTCATACAAATATAAATCAAGATTTTTTGTTTCATATACAAAATCAGAAATCTCAGGCTTTACTTTGTACGGTTGAAATTTTACAAAAAAATTTGAAACTAAGGAACTAAAAAAAGTCAAAATTATCAATTAAAAGGTCAGCCACACCAGAAAAACAAGTTTTTGGGACATTTAAAAACACTTTTGCGTTCTCTAATGCCGCTGAAAGTTTGAAATTACAAAGTTTTTAAGGAAATTTTTGAGGCTGCAAATTGAAAAGTAACATTTTAATCGTGAATAAAACATGAAGCAATTACTTTGTTGACGATTGCTGACCATATTTGAACTCGCCGTACCTTCAAGAATAATCTGTTAAATTTTAGTTTCAGTATTTTGCACAGTTTCAGAGAAAATTACATTCATACAAAGCTAAATCAAGATATTTTGTCTCATATACAAAATCAGAAATCTCAGGCTTTACTTTGTACGGTTGAAATTTTACAAAAAACTATGAAACTAAGGAACTAAAAGAAGTCAAAATTATCAATTAGAAAGTCAACCACACCAGAAAAATAAGTTTTTGGGACATTTAAAATCACTTTTGCGTTCTCTAATGCCGCTGAAATTTTGAAATTACAAAGTTTTTAAGGAAATTTTTTAAGCTTCAAATTGGAAACTAACATTTCAATTGTGAATAAAACATGAACCAAATATTTTGTTGATATTTGCTGACCATATTTGAACTTGCCGTACCTTCAAGAATAATCTGTTGAATTTTCGTTTCAGTATCTTGCATAGTTTTAGAGAAAAATGCATTCATACAAAGTTAAATCAAGATTTTTTGTTTCATATACAAAATCAGAAATCTCAGGCTTTACTTTGTACGGTTGAAAATTTTGCAAAAAATTTGAAACTAAGGAACTAAAAAAAGTCAAAATTATCAATTAGAATGTCAGCCACACCAGAAAAATAAGTTTTTGGGACATTTAAAAACACTTTTGCGTTCTCTAATGCCGCTGAAAGTTTGAAATTACAAAGTTTTTAAGGAAATTTTTTGAGGCTGCAAATTGAAAACTAACATTTAAATTGTAAATAAAACATGAAGCAATTACTTTGTTGACGATTGCTGACCATATTTGATCTCGCCGTACCTTCAAGAATAATCTGTTAAATTTTCGTTTCAGTATTTTGCACAGTTTCAGAGAAAATTGCATTCATACAAAGCTAAATCAAGATATTTTGTCTCATATACAAAATCAGAAATCTCAGGCTTTACTTTGTACGGTTGAAATTTTACAAAAAACTATGAAACTAAGGAACTAAAAAAAGTCAAAATTATCAATTAGAAAGTCAACCACACCAGAAAAACAAGTTTTTGGGACATTTAAAAACACTTTTGCGTTCTCTAGTGCCGCTGAAAGTTTGAAATTACAAAGTTTTTGAGGAATTTTTTCAAGCTGCAAATTGAAAACTAACATTTCAATTGTGAATAAAACATGAACCAAATACTTTGTTGACATTTGCTGACCATATTTGAACTCGCCGTACCTTCAAGAATAATCTGTGAAATTTTCGTTTCAGTATCTTGCATAGTTTCAGAGAAAATTGCATTCATACAAAGATAAATCAAGTTTTTTTTTTTCATATACAAAATCAGAAATCTGAGGGTTTACTTTGTACGGTTGAGATTTTACAAAAAACTATGAAACTAAGGAACTAGAAAAAGTCAAAATTATCAATTAGAAAGTCAGCCACACCAGAAAAACAAGTTTTTGGGACATTTAAAAACACTTTTGCGTTCTCTAATGCCGCTGAAATTTTGAAATTACAAAGTTTTTAAGGAAATTTTTTAAGCTTCAAATTGGAAAACTAACATTTTAATTGTGAATAAAACATGAACCAAATATTTTGTTGACATTTGCTGACCATATTTGAACTCGCCGTACCTTCAAGAATAATTTGTTGAATTTTCGTTTCAGTATCTTGTACAGTTTTAGAGAAAAATGCATTCATACAAATATAGAAAAAACTATGAAACTAAGGAACTATAAAAGGTCAAAATTATCAATTAGAAAGTCAGCAACACCAGAAAAACAAGTTTTTGGGACATTTAAAAACACTTTTGCGTTCTCTTATGCCGCTGAAATTTTGAAATTACAAAGTTTTTAAGGAAATTTTTTAAGCTTCAAATTGGAAACTAACATTTTAATTGTGAATAAAACATGAACCAAATATTTTGTTGACATTTGCTGACCATATTTGAACTCCTCACCGTACTTCAAGAATAATCTGTTGAATTTTGTTTCAGTATGCATAGTTTAGAGAAAATGCATTCATACAAATATAATCAAGATTTTTTGTTTCATATACAAAATCAGAAATCTCAGGCTTTACTTTGTAGGTTGAAATTTTACAAAAAACTATGAAAACTAAGGAACTAAAAAGTC